AGTTGAGTAATGGAAGGATGCAGCCGCCAAAAAGAACAGGCTCATGTATAAAAGCTACGTTAAATGAGGATACACAGGTTCCGCCTGTGGGGCCCGAGTGCGGGGCTCGAGCCCGCGACTGCCCCTTTACGTTTGGCACAGCCCCCAACAGGGCTGGCGGCAAGGGAGAACTCCATCTCCACATTTCCCAAAGGTGAAATCACAGGTAGGTTAATGGTTCCAACCACTTCGCATGAGCCTTGTATAAAGTTCAGCATCATTTCACCATCTTCATTCGGTTGCCATAAACATCGGTATTCCAACGGTAGTGTTTGTAGTTGTTGCCAACTGATGATGTTCTTGTCAGCACCAGGATCAACCAGGCACGCCACATGCGTGTCGGCTATAACAAAACGTCCATACAAACCTCCGCTTTCTTGTTCAGATGCGACATTTACCGCACCTGCCATTGGTTCGTTCTTCTTAGCTGCGGCCTTAGCCTTCTGCTCTTTTACCCCATCGCATGAGTCGTTAAAGTATTTGGCTAAACTCTCCAACACAGCTAGGTTCGAAGTGTCTTCTTTCAAGTCCATGCTAATACCTTGTGGGGTGCGTGTGACAGTGATGTGTTGCGCAGCTAATTTTCCTTGACGTGTCACTCTGTAGCAATTCTTCTCATCATGGCCCTTCTTTCCACATACAGTACAGGAAGGCTTCGTAGGACAATCTCTTGAGGTGTGTTGTGAAGACTTACACCATCTGCATTGTCTGTTGTCTATACCCTTCGGTACTTGTGTGGTGCCTCGCGGCGTCTCGAGAACTTCGTCGCCCACCTCATAAAATCGTGGTTGGATCTCACGTCTCGGTGGATAATTCGACCTTGGTACCACATTTGTTCTGGTCGCATGGGTACTACATTTGCGATCATATTCACCCTTTTAGCATTCCTCCGTTTTCTTCTTGCCAGATCGTCGTTGCACTTTAGGATGAATTGAATAAATCTATCCAAACGAGTCAATTCACGCTTCCTAGCCTGGAGAGCAAACTGAAGGCGGCACGAATCCCCGAGCAGCAAT